TCATCTAACTTGTCAAACTTCCTTATATTCGGCAGCCTTGATTTAACCTGTTGAAGAGAATGTATGTTTACTCAACATATTTATCATTTACACAGCACAGTTAATAGTTTATATCATTATATCCTCTGCACACACAAATTTAATTTGTAACACAATGTTACCTTATGACACAACACATTAACATGATCAGCAGCTGCTGGAAGTAATGGTAATAAATGCACCATTTCCAAATATGTATATAGCTCTTGTCGGATAATTGGTACAATATATACATAAACTATTCAGCATCACCATGCTCACTGTCAAGATTATTAGCAATTTCAATATATAAGTGCACTAACCTCAAGATATATATTTGGACGATCAGGGTTGATCGTAACCAATCCATGATCTGTGAACTGCAGATTTGAGGCAAGTGTCTTAACAGCAGCAGGTGTGGCGGTGGCTGTCAGAGCAAGGTGTGCAGCATCGGGGAAAATGCAGATAACTTCTGATAGCTTATTGAAAGCTGTCCGGAACTTGGGACCCCTGTGAAAACAGTGCATATAGTTATGTATGCTTCACATCTGTAGGTGAGGTGAAATGGGGTTTAACGTCACGGCCAAGATTATTGCACTTATATAGCAATGTGCATGCACGTGTATGTGTGTGTGTGGCTGCTTGTACTAGTCCGGACTGGTGCCGATTTATAGTGCTAGCACACTGAGATACCATGCCGCAGTTTAACATGAATATCCTACTCAGACACAGTATACTGACTCCGAGCCGACCAGTCCTTGTTTTAGCCCCTTAATGCCGAACGCCAGACAGGGTGACAACAAGTACCATCTTTAAACGTCTTTTGGTATGACGCGGCTGGGGATCGAACCCCGGACCTTCCGCTCTCCGGGCGGACGATCTACCACTGGACCACGGAGGCGGTCTCTTCACAATTGTAAATACTTATCACTGTGCTTAAGATTCCTTTTTAACATACATACTTGTAGTTATTTACAAACAGTAACAATAACACTATAACCAACCATTCAGATATCATGTGCACCTCATCAATGGCAACTGCACAAACACTGTCTTGATAGATTTTGGAACGCAGCATTGTTCCAACAGTCTTGTTGTTTACTAAAGTCTCAGGATGAGCATACACAAGGTTATATACACCTTTTCTTAAGTCAGCCATGCTGACATATACAGGTGCATGGACATCGGTCTCACTGGGTTCTCCATCACCCTCTTCTCGTTCATCATTTTCATCTCCTACAATATGTCGGGTGACTATCCTAAATGTGTTTCCAGCATATCCTGAAAGTAATATGGTTGAATTAAGTTTATGTCCTACGTGGCAAGGTAATTGATCAATTAACAAATCATAAAGCAAACAGAAGAATATGTGTGTATTTTTATTTGCAATGAAGTAATTAGTTGTTAGAAAACATCTATAATAATAATAATAATAATAATAATAATAATAATAATACTTAAACAAAATATGAGATTGAATCACAAAATAAAAATACATGTAATAAATAAGGATTTACGATGTGTTTGCCTTTGACCGGAATGGAACCGATGTCCAAAGATAAATCTTGCGGACTACCATTCAAAAGCTTCTTCATTACATCTAATTTCAACATTAAAATATATACACTTCGTTATTATTTCATCAAAGTATGAAGCCATCATACTTATGATGAAATAATAAATGTGTGAACTGATCAAACTGCAGTTAACAAGTGTATATAAGTCTATGCATCTTTTCATGATAGATCACGATACTATTTAAGCCAGTTCGATTTCTTGCTGATGCTGATGAACAATGAACAGTCAAGTTTTAATTTACGCTAATTAAGCCTTTTTCATGAACATATTACGGTTATCTGTTAGATTCTACCATAAAATATTGACTCATGTCAGCATTTCAAACATATAGGCCTATAGACATGACATATGTACCTGCTTACCTTGACAGTTCAGAAAACAGGCTTTGACCCCTTTCTCACATAGTGAGATGACTTGGTCCTGCATGAGTGAATTCAGGGGGCTGACGACGATGACAATTCCTGGAACTGGCCGATCTCTCTGGAGAAGAAAAGGCAAAAGTTGAAAAATGAGACTTTTCCCATATCCTGTTGGCAACACAGCTATGCAGTCACGTCCTGCGAACACTGTTTTTAAAGTTTCTTCTTGCTTGTCCTTTAATTTAAAACTGATGTCAATATTGTCTTTGGCATACGCCAACGCTGTTTCAAATTCAGCGGCCATTTTGCGTAATGATTCACACATATTTTTTCCCCTATATGTTATATATTCCAGATAATATTTAAAACACATCGGACTTAAATTAATATGAAATATGATTGAACAAATTTATCTGTATCTTGGGTTTATTTTTGGATACAAGACGTATGTAAAATCAAAAATTATAGCTGAGGGATTCTTTGACCGATGTACTTGAAGCCAAACGCGCTTTCTGATTGGTTTGTCGTATTTTCGCACATAACATTCATCGAGAGGGGGACGAGTCTTCTTTCAGGTTACGGAAAGGGCCGAGTGGTGACGAATGAGTGACATTCGTGTTGATTGCACTCTCCTACCCAGAGTTCCATGCGACCGGCAGCCAGCCAGCATAGTACCTCTGCCACAGGCCAGCGCCATGTGACGATTCGTCACATCTTTCACAGTCCATTCAAGATATTGCATCTGCTTTTCATCCGTTTCATGTTTGACAAGTCTACACATTTTCATGAACAAATGTCAAAGAATGGTTACGGTTCATTAAGAAAGTATCCTAATACGTGAAAATCTACTTGTTTTTGCGTAGTTATCCTTTGTTTACATTGGTTGTACGGCTCCACGTGCTGTCATCGAAGCCATATGGAGAGATAGCGATAGGGTCACTTTGATGCATAAATATATATTGTCATGCAACTCACTGTCGCAGTTGTAGTAGCATATCTATATAATTATGCAAAACAATATGTAAAGCGCCCCAAAAAACTTGCATTAGTCCGTTCTATACTGATTTCTGAAAAAGCGCGTTTGTTTACAAACGAGAGAAAAGTCCGGTCACGTGATATGCAAATTAGCCTGTGGCAGTGGTGTTATGCTGAGTCACCACTGCGCCGGAGTGTGTGTTGATTGCAGTAAATGTTTCAAAACCGAAATTGTTGTTTCTTTTTATTTGATAACAAATTCCATCCATTTTAGCTATAATAACGGTAACGCTTTTTTTCAGGGCATTATCATTTGCAGAAATCCCTCGGTCTTTTCACTCAAAACCCATTCGTCACCACTCGCCCCTTTCCGTAACCTGACATGTAAGGTGAAGGTCATTCATAAAGTATGCTTCCCATTAAAATGTATTCTGCTTTTAACGCATTTTGCATGTATATACGTAGTGGTTATAAAGTTGGAACACTTATGTATGATAAACGATGGCAATCATGAGATCACTAGAACGGTCATTGTACGTTCGTATAGTACTTGTTATATTGTTTTTGAAACAATGCGGTGCTTGGCCATCTCAAGGCTATCACATCATGCATATCACCTCTCCAATGGTCAAGGTAATCCTCAAGGCCACAGCCTGAAAAATAGATTTGTTTAACTCGAGAAGGATTTACTGTACGTCTGTGTAACGTGATACATGTCATCGTTAGGGCGGGGTCCAGATCTGTAAAGGTTGAAAGTGACTTACGTGAAACGTAAAGTATGTTTGTCATTTTCACTAAAATGCATCATAATTACATCATAATTAGATTAAAAGAGATTTTATAGTTTCTAAAATATATGTCAAAATTGGGTTAATTTGATTGAAACTTCTTACTTTTTACATACAAATGCACAATGATCTGTAATGCAAATGAACATTCATATTTCACAATTCTTAATGTAACCACGCTGATCTTGACTCGTAAATGACGCAATTTTCCAGGACACCATTTTACATACAATATAAATTTTTATATTTTACATCATTGGCCTTTATAAATTTGATATTCTTTTGATGTTAGCTGTATACAAATAACGTTGTTATTAATGTACAGTAGCTTAAGCTATTTTATTTTTACGTCCGACTGACTATGACATGAATTTTCCCAAACCGGAAATAATATCATTCAAACGGAAGTGTGTATAACTTTTTTGTTAAGGAGGTTGTTTAAGCACTGGCCGTTAATTTCCAAAAACCGAAGGTGAAGTCTTCAAAGACTAACTATCAATTTCATATTAACAATGTTAATGGCCTTCTCATAGCGGCAGTTTCCGTTTTATTGGACATGTATTTTCCCAAACGGAAGTGATGTCATTGGATGCGAATTGATGTCATTATTGTGGAGTGGGTGGGTGCGTTGGGATTAACGCCTCTTTTAAATTATTTTCTTTATATCGCGGCGTGTCAGCTTGGTGTGGGAGGAAAGCCTTAGTGAAGCAGGTCTTAGACCTTTGCCACTTTTGTGAAAACCACGAGAACGGGTTTTGTGCTGACAAAACCGTGAAATCATAATTGGGGCAAAATGGGATTCGAACCCATGATCTCAGGTTTCTGGCGTGCTCAAGAGACAACTCTGAATTGAAATTAGACGACTGGGCAACTTGTGCCCCTATCACTGTGGACATGTTGTTAGGTTACTCATTCTGTTGACTCGAGACTTCGGTATGAGGTTAATAAATATGTAATGCATCCTCGTGAACGTTATATCAAGTTATGTCTGTTTGTGTCTCTGTTGTTTAAGGCAACACTCAAATCCATCTTTACGACGGCGGATTGTAAATAAGGGAGCACTGACTAGACAACCCAGTGATAGCAACGTCAGCCACCTTCAGGTTACAATGACACGCAACCAGCCAAGTCACCGTGATCCGTGATCCTCGAAGCACAAATATATATTTGTCATATTTCATGGAAATCCCACTGGGGGTTTATCGACTTATGGAAGCAAAGTTAAAGTTACGTTCAAACGTGTTGGTATACATATTATGTGATAAATCAGCAAACATGGCCCTTTTCATCACAACATTTATTGAACCGAAACATATACATGAAATTAATAATTAGTTTGGCCTACATATTCCCCCAAGAAGAGTCAGAGTTGCTTCCCCTGTTGTCCCGAGCTGGCAGGTGTGACTTTTTGACGTTCCACTCACGCTGTACCAGACAGTGACGTTCTCCTTGACACCGCCAGTCAAGGTCAAGGTCACGTCAGTGTCTATAGAAATCTGAGTGAAGCGTTGTGGGGATACTGGTACTACCTTAGCTGGTACTTCGCCAAGAAGAACCACCTCAGGACTGGAAATAGAAATAAATATAACCATTAAGCTAAACGGGCATGTGTCTTTCCTGTTGTATCTTCAAAGAACTGTATGACGTAATATCAATTTGATGCGCATTACAATGTCCGAGGAAAGAGGATGGAATGTGGTTGTTGATGTATTGCTTTGGGGGGGGGGGGGGGGGGGGGGGGGGGGTGGTTATTTAATGACTATAATCTTCACTCCGGTAAAACCGATTGAGGGGACCTTCACAGGACGAGTCGAATCTTCACGCAGAGACTTACCGTATCGGAATAAAATACCTGATTTTAATGAGATTAGGTTTGGGCTATGATACATGTACGACTGCTACTTGTTCCTAACGCTGATGTGGGGAGTGTAACTGTGGGGGTAGAAGCGTTGCTACAATGTACAATGGGTACAATGTGTGAATCCTATTTCTGGCGTCCCCGGCCGTGATGTTGTTGGAATATTGCAAACAATGGGCGTAAAATTATATTTCACCCATTCGTATTGGGGCAGCATCACAACAGGGGCCACTAGAAATGGGCTTCACACATTGTACTCATATGTGGAACCCTGGTCTTCGGTGGGACGAGAGAACGGTTTGACCACATAGCTACCCAACTCCCTTGTACTGACCTGCTCATGAGGACTGGAGCAATGTAATAAAGGCAATAATGCTGTGCAGAGCAACCCTTGATAGTTATAGGCTTTGACTCATTGAAATCCGTGAGTGACATCCAGGACTGTGATGTGTACACCTTTCCATCCTGCAACTGTTCAAATACACATTAACATCTAGATATTGATATATACATTAGATCTTGTTATACTTCAATATGGCAATAACGGCAATTTCAGTCTTAAACTCAATTAAACGCGTACAACACTGTGTTGTCAACAATGAAGCATCGTTATCATTGTTAGATATTATTTTATCAAAAAGCCTTTTGTTTTCAGGGAAAACAACAGACCTAATACATTGACATCAGGGCACCTTGACATAAACCTATTCTTTGTTGATCAAAATTTGCCTGTTTTTGTAGCAACTGTGAAAAACTTTGACATTACTCTGTCTCAGAGCCGCAATGACAGGGATATTGTAACGACCGTATCAGGCGAAATGTCAAACCTTTGTCAAACCTTTGTCAAACCAAAACTGTGTATCACGTTAAGGACAATCAAAGGATTCATGTTCAAAACAGTTTATATATGGTTAATTCTATATGTTTGTGGTCACTGAGGCGACCAATGCTGCTGTAGCTTCTGATATTCTAATGATAAATATTGATAAAAATAGCGTCTCGTCATGAGCTAGTTGCAACACCCCACGGTCCATACTTAACAGTGTCCTCTGAATAAGTGTGTGTGTTTATTGTTTAACGCCGCACTAAGCAATGTCCCAGCTATATGACGACGGCCTGTATATAATCGAATCTGGAAAAGACAATCCAGTGATTGATATTACGAGCAACGATCCACATCGTCAGGGTGCGATGACACGCCGTCAACTACGTAAGTCGCCTCGTACGACAAGAGTTGCTTCCCCTTCTTGTCAGATAAAGGTGAGTCCATTCAGCGGTGATTTGGTTGATTGCGTGTCATCGTACCCGACCGCGTTGTTTGAGATAAAAATAATTGATTTGTCTGGTCCAGACTCGATTATTTACAGGCCATCGTCAGAAAAGCTGTGATATTATTGTGCGCATCGTCGCAACATGGCAGTATTGCCGATGTAGCGTTACGTTGGTAACTGCCTTATGCTTGAATGACGTTGGTTGTTGGTTGGTTGGTTGTTTAACGCCGCACTCAGCAATATTCCAGCTATATGACGGCGGTCTGTAAATAATCGAGTCTAAACCAGACAATCCAGTGATTAATATCAGGAGCATCGATGACATGCATCAACCAGGTCAGCGAGCCTGACCACCCGATCCCGTTAGTCTCCTTTTTCGACAAGCATAGTCGCCTTTTACGGCAAGCATGGGTTGCTGAAGACCTATTCTACCCCGGATCTTCACGGGTCGCTTGAATGACGTGGAACGGTACCTTGTCTGCAAAAGTGGTGTCAGAAGGTCTGAGAGGGAACGTGTTTGATATGGCCGCTGCCAGGACGATACCAAAGTAGAAGTTCTGAATGTTGGAATACGTCGTCCATACTTCACCCACTGGGCCAACGGCTCCCCCAAGAGCAGACTGAGCAGAATGTAAACATGTTCGGTTATATTCAATTAATAATTTTAATGATGGTTAGGTGAGGGGATTTAACCAGGCTTGACAGGGGTGTTCGTCGCTTACATAACATTTGGTTGGTTGGTTCGTTTGTTGTTTTACGCCGCACTCAGCAATATTCCAGCTATATGACGGCGGTCTGTAAATAATCGAGTCTGGACCAGACAATCCAGTGATTGACAACATGAACATCGATCCACGCAATTGGGATCGATGACATGCATCAACCAAGTCAGCGAGCCTGACCACCCGATCTCATTAGTTGCACCTTACGACAAGCATAGTCGCATTTTACGGCAAGCATGGGTTGCTGAAGACCTATTCATCCCGGGATCTTCACGGGTCTGACGTGAAATGCACGGATTTCATTCAAAACTTGATTTGGAACTACAGAACGCCATGAAATATACTGTTTCTCTCAGAAAGTGATAATGTTAATGACAAACCTGAATTATTTGAGCATCAATTGCCATTGCTGGTTTCGTAGGCTTTAATATCCTGCCGTCAGCGTCACAGCATCTGAAGTATACACATGCTTATTATATATTGGTCTGCAGCTTAGCGCAACTATTAATCTTCCTGCTATTAACAAAATATATTGTGCTGGAGTGCCCAAGTGTAGTGATACTGATTAAGACTCCGTATTGTCAGTATTTTGTTTGGTTAACAAAGGGGAGTTATATTATTATATCCAATAGCTGTAAGGAAACAAACATTTAATATTCAGCGCTTTAATATTCCTCCCGACAATATATTGACACTGGAATGACGCTGATTAAGACTCCGTATTGTCAGTATTTTGTTTGGTTAACAAAGGGGAGTTATATTATTATATCCAATAGCTGTAAGGAAACAAACAATTAATATTCAGCGATTTAATATTTCTCCCGACAATAAATTGACACTGGAATGACGCTGATTAAGACTCCGTATTGTCAGTATTTTGTTCGGTTAACAAAGGGGAGTTATATTATTATATCCAATAGCTGTAAGGAAACAAACAATTAATATTCAGCGATTTAATATTCCTCCCGACAATAAATTGACACTGGAATGACGCTGATTAAGACTCCGTATTGTCAGTATTTTGTTTGGTTAACAAAGGGGACTCTCCGAGTTCAATAGCTGTAAGGAAACATTTACTACTCAGCGCTTCAGTATTCCTCCAGAAAATATATTGAAAAATAATGGTATTTACAACACCAATAGTTCCGCTATATCAAGTGTGTCAGCTTCATGTGGGAGAAAACTATATGTGATGCAAATCTTAGACGTTTACCACTTTGGTGATAGCCACGAGCACGTCTGTGACATAGAGAATCTCACCCGAGTGTCTTTTGATATCAAATATATCAACACGAGTTGATAAAAGTGAAAAAATTCCGAGGCTTGCCGAGGATTTTTGCCACTTTTATCAACGAGTGTTGATATATTTGATGTCAAAAGACACGAGGGTGAGATTTTATTTATCATCCAACATCATTCTTCCAACTTTTTCAATTTGGAGACAGTAATTAGCAGTGTCTTCAGTGTAAAAAGTACTGCTAACAGCTTCAGTAGCAGAGCCATTAGTGATGTCATTTGATTGTGACGTCATGGTAACCAATGACGTCACATTGGTCTGCAAAGCATTGTGATGTAATTTCATTGCAGAGATATCTACAGTGTAGATATCGCTTGATCTCATCCAAGCGATATCTCCTGTGGGAGCCAGTTTTGGATGATAAAAATCAGTTATCATTATCAGGGCAAAAACTGGGATTTCAACACACGCTTATGGGTTCTGGCACGCCTAAGGGGCGCATCTCGGTACTGTGAACTGTGTCGCCATAGGCAACTGGATCTCTCGTGGCCTAAATCATTTCGTGATGAACAACGTTGACAATAAAGAAACAATGTTGTCAGGATCAGGATGTTTTGTTTGTTTGTTTGTTGTTCAACGCCGCACTCAACAATATTCTAGCTATATGTCGGCGTTCTGTAAAGTAATCCAGTCTGGACCAGACAACCCAGTGATTGACATCATGAGCATCGATCCACGCAATTGGGATCGATGACATGTATCAACCAAGTCGGCGTGTCTGACCACCCGATCCCGTTATAGAATCTAAGATATGATCAGTCCCATGGCGAATTACAAATTTCTGCGACACATTCTGCGCTAACAACGTACTCATTTGCCTCTAAAATCCAAATCCAAATCCGAAACGAAATAATTCAACGAATTGTCATTATGAACAGTTATTATTGGATAATTATTAATTATGCAAATATTTATGTATAGCGTCACTTATATCTATATATGATTAGATGTAAAACAGTTTATGAAGTCATGATACAACAAGAACGTTTACAAGTGAGAATTATGTATTGCAAATTACGTTTTATTGCACGATTCATGTTACGTGTGTTTGAATCGCATTTTAAATTTTGATACATCATTCGAGCGCAAAAAGTCGACAGAAAAGCTTGAAAGTAATGAAAATTGGTGTACTGATTGACAACAAAAGGCAAATTCCGCAATTTTCTCCAATTCCGCGATGAGTTACATTTTCTGCAAATCTTACGTCGATTACGGAATCGCAGAATTCATTTAGGACTGATTGATATCACTCAACACAAGGGGCCGATCAGCAAAGGATGCTTTTGTTACTTGGTGTGCGGGTTGGTTTAAACTTTCATCATTGTGGAATAACATTTTTAAACTTTAGTTATGGTAAACAAATGTTTCCTTCCGCCAAATGTGTTTACCTTAATACTTGGGTAATAATAAATCAAACGTAGATAGATGTTCCAAGGAAGTTAATATTCAAAGAAAACTATTTTACATTTATGTTATTTAATCAAACCAACATTTTATTGAGATTTCATTCTAAAAACAATTTATTCAAAATTTATATATATTTCCACCACTGACCCTTTGACAAAAAGATAATGAAAAGCAGAAATGAAAAGGCCGAACTCCAACGCACGTTTCAATCAAGGAGACATTCATGCCTGTCACAGAATCTCCGGGTCCAACTGCCGCAGTGCTGAGGGTAGCCACTGTCAGGTGCAGTCCTGGGTTTGGCTCCGACTTGTCTGGAAATATTGAGGGCAATGACACCAATAGCATTCCCCAGATATTCTATGGGACGTTCAATCAAGGTTGGTTGGTTGGTTGCTTAACGCCGCACTCAGCAATATTCCAGCTATATGACGGAGGTCTGTAAATAATCGACTTTGGACCAAACAATCCAGTGATTAATATCATGAGCATCGATCCAGTGACAAGTTAAAGGATCAACTGGCCTCTCGTTTTGCCAGCAATGTTCCAGCTATTATAATATCACGACGGCCAGTATATTTTCAAGTCTTGATCAGACATATTAGTTATTGCATAATGACGTCAAATCAACGAAATCATGAAACCTGACCACCCGATCCATTAAGCCGCCTCATACGACAAACAAAGGTTGCTAACTATTACCCAATATCATCTACTTTGTGATGACAAAATACAACAGCATTGCTGTGAGGTATCTTTAACATCGCTCTGGGCAACTATTTCAGTTTGTCACGACCTGTCAATTTAATGCTGGAAGAACACCCTAGATACCGCAGTATATGATATGGGTATGGTGCTGAAAAAAACAAGTAGAGTTTTCGGGCCGAATCTAGGATTCGAACCCATACCGACATAAATACAACAACTGAGCTACCTATACCTTTTGAATTCTCGACTTTGGTGAAAGATCTGCTTTTATGTGTAAGCTTTTGTTTGTTTGTTGTTTAACGCTTAAAATAGTAGTCGGAATAACCTTACCTTGAAAGATCTGGTCTTACTCTCTGAGGGGGACAATTATTTTACGCTTCTTCAAACCCCTTTTGAGGATCAACATAAACACTGCTTGGACAAGAAGCAAGGTGTCTTACTGTAAGAGTTTCCAGGTTGATTGGTCGTACTCCAGAACGTATCCTTAAAGGGGGCAAGACCAATGGCATCTGCCAATATCGATGATATACCAATTCTCCAGTTGTCGTTACCGGGGCTGTAGTCATTGCTGGAACGCGCCTGTGTGAAAACGAACGATATCAGTTAATGTAGACCCATGCTTGCCGAAAAAGACGACTACGCTTGTCGAAATAGGCGACTAACGGGATCGGGTGGTCAGGCTCGCTGACTTGGTTGATGAATGTCATCGTATCCCAATTGCATGGATCGATGCTCATGATGTCAATCACTGGATTGACTGTTCCAGACTCGATTATTCACAGACCGCCGTCATTTAGCTGGAATATTGCTGAGTACCGCCTCAAACAACAAACAAACAAACAAACAGTTTATGTAGTTTCGACTTCTGGTGTGACTTTTCTGTGAGATTCATTGCTTGATATTTTCACCACCCGATCCCCTTTTTTGTTGACTCCTATGCATGGTGTAACTGGGATCTAATCCGCGCGAAATCCCAAAGGATTCCATGTACCCGCTTGAAGCAGGGGCGATAGCCTTGTGGTGAAAGCACACTATCTTGAGCAATGTCGGGTCGTTTGATAGTTACTCTGCATCTTGATAACTGGTATAAGTTAAGTTTTTGGTGGTCAGGCTCGCTGACTTGGTTAATGCATGTCATCGTATCCTAATTGCGTGGATCGATGCTCATGATGTCAATCACTGGATTGTCTCGTGCAGACTCGATTTTTTACAGACCGCAGTCATATAGCTGGAATAAACAAAACGAACAAACAAAACATACACCAAAAGTCCGGAAGTCGCTGAACTAAAGGGTCGACCAATTTATATTCGTTCGGGAACTGGAAAGCTTCTACAAATAATATTTGTTCCCGAATATGCTTGAAAATACCCAATATGACCTCAGGTTATCTCAAATGATGTAAATCGTTCACTGAACATTGTGGATGTTCTGATACATTGTGTATCCTAAAGCGTTAAAAATAATCCCTCTCAAACCAAACTCATAGCTCCTCTTAACATCCTCTTACATATTTGATACCGTTCCGTGCAGTATGAAATACTCAAGGAGGACACTCAAGGACGACAGAACGATATAAGTAAGTACTGCGTCCACGTGAAAAGCACTTCGAACTTCGAACAAGAATGAATAGTGTTACCATTGTAACTGCTGGAATCTCGAGACTCTGCAAGGCTTCTCTGGAATAGGACATGCAGTACATGATGGTGATGCCATTCTTCCTGGCAGATCGACCCATCAGCATCAACCAATCACGACCAACACTAATGTTGGTTAATAGCGCGTTCATTCCGTTGAATTCGTCGTTCAGCCAATCCTTATAAATGGGAAAAATATGATAATTTTACAAATTGAACTGACGCTTATGGAAAGAATAAGGGATGACATGAGTAGGCATTAGGAACAGTTTAAATAGAAGTCACATTCAATGATACAAAGGAGCATTTCTATCCAAAAATAAGGTCTTCAAAGTAAACGCACTGTCACGCATTCGTAGCTGTAAATAGAGAGAATGGGGGGGGGGGGGGGGGGGATTAAAACTTTCCGGTGAAGTCTGCATTAACGACGCGTTCAATATTATTGCACTTGTACAGCGACGTGTTAATGTGTGTGTGTGTGTGTTGTTATATGGAAGTGTAATTTATTGTTAAGCAATTGAATTACATTGTTTCTCTTAAGAATCAGTAGAAGTTCATAGCATTGTGTTTTGACAATGGTTAGTTGTCATGAATGTAGTGCTATCAATTGTAAGCAGTGGCGTGGAAGACATTATCAAGACCGTGTGAAGATCACGTTTTCACCCTAGATATCAAGCCTAGGCCTACATGGAAGCTTGACCACTGGAGCAGCTAGGTGAATATTATTGTCACTGACTCTTTGATAGCACCATTGATATTGTATTTTATTACTTGCCCGTGAAGAGATCACCCGTTTAATAAACATACAGCTTTATTACACATTGTGTAATACCAAAACGCGTGCTTATGTACTCTCGGAACACGTTTCACGAACAAATATTGAAAGCTCTCAACATCCCTTGGCGTATTCAACGACATTGTGTGTGGAGATGATAGATCACTGGGAGGAGCTTATGCACACTCGATGACCCCAGCAACCTTGTTGCTAGGCTGACGTCACATGGCATTGTTTCGCCGATGGATCTTGCAACAAAATTCCACAAATTACGTCATCGGGTATTGTGACGTGATTGTAAACTTTGAGGTGCAAGGCCCCGTTCCACAAGGCGATCGTACTCTAGCGCAACGACAGTCGTTAGTCTAAGTTAAATTATGTGAGTTGTGATAGCCTTAGCACTACGATAATTTTGTGGGACGAACGCCTGAATTCTAAAGGTGGACCATTGTATGATATTAAATTCATACGTTTCAACTTTTGACGTGTTTGAAGTATTATTCTGTTAAACTCAATTGGATTATGCCATGGATCGTGTAGGTGTCAGCCTATTTACACTCAACAGTATAATTTTAAAAACATTATAATTGACAAGTTATAAATAAAATACTAAACTCGCTCTCGTGTAAAACCAATTTTATGAAACTCGTGAATAGTTGTGGTATCTGACTCGCTTTCGCTCGTCAGATACCAGAACTATTCACTCGTTTCATAAAATTGGTATTACACGGGAGCTCGTTTAGTATTCTATATTTATACTGCCATTGTAATTGTACTGCCATTGAATTTGGCACTGTCATTCTATTGTGTACAGCCATTGAAATTACTTGGCAGTAATTTGAATTGATTTGTAAACAGAGTAAATTATATAATACAACTGTTAAGTGTATATCGTTGCTTTGTGGTTTCTTTGTTTCACATTGAATATAATTAAGTATATATTTCTGGGTTATACATATTGTTTCAATTTGGAAGTCGACAGTGTGCGTGCGTGCGTGCGTGCGTGCGTGCGTGCGTGCGTGCGTGCGTGCGTGCGTGTGTGCGTGCGTGTACTTGTACTTTTATATTGCTAACCCAGTTTAGATGTCATGCCTCAGTTAAACATGTACAGTAAACTACGGTTATAACGAACTCAAAGGGACTACTAATTTTAGTTCGTTATAACCGTAGTTCGTTATAAGCATATAAACAGCATAACTACAGCAAATAGTCGGGACCAAAAAGTAAGTTCGTTATATCCGTCAGTTCGTTATAAGCGTGTTCGTTATAACCGTAGTTTACTGTATACCCAAATGAGACAATATACAAATACCAAAAACAGACTCCCACCGACAAGTCCTTGTTTTATCCCCTTAATGCGGAGCGCCATGCAGGGTAACAACAAGAACCATATTTTAACGTCTTTTGGTACGACGCGGCTGGGTATCGAACTCCCGACCTTCCGCTCTCCGGAATGACGCTCTATCGACTAGACCAGGGAGGCTGTCATGACATAATTTGTAACAGTAGTTATTATGACCATGAAGCATTAAGTATTTAACGGCGTTAAGGAATTGATCACACCATCGTCGAGCTTTAACACTGAATTATGGGCCATCCACTAATTAAACTTATTCATTGAACTGTACGCAGTGGGTTTATAGCTGCAAGATTAAAAAGTCGTCGCCAATGAATGGCATCAGGAATTATTTGAAGAGGTAACTAGACCAGTCGTGTTGCTTTTGCAGTCGATTAGTCGTCAGTTCGAATTCCAGAGTCAACGCCAGAGAACAAATAGTCTCGGTTATCCGCCGAAAATGGCCCAAAAGGGGTGACAATTATGTAAATGGATCACTGAAAGTCAGTGATAACGCCCACCTACACGCAGCTCTGTGTTAACGGAATGGGTTAACCAGGATCCTGCCCGAACCACTAAAGGTACATACAAGTCATGACAACGTAAAATTCATGAAACCCGTTATTTTGTCTCATAAGTATAATCTGCCTGTATGCTATTTAAATGGGGTCGGCTCGTGGTTCAAGCTTTCTCTCGTCAAGCGGACCGCCTCCGTGGTCTTGTGGTAGAGCGTCCGCCCGGAGAGCGGAAGGTCCAGGGTTCGATCCCGGGCCGCGTCATACAAAAAGACGTTAAAAGATTGTACTTGTTGTTACCCTGTCTGGCGCTCGGCATTAAGGAGCTAAAACAAGGACTGGTCGGCTCGGAGTCAGTATACTGTGTCTGAGTGGGGTATTCATGTTAAACTGCGGCATAGTATCTGAGTGAGCTAGCACTATAAATCGGCATCAGTCCGGACTAGTACAAGCAGCCACACACACACATACACGTGCATGCACGTCGCTATATAAGTGCAATAATCTTGGACGCGACGTTAAACCCAATTTCACCTCACCTCTCGTCATGCGGTTGGGAAGACCATTTCTGGCGCACGTGCCTCCTCCCTTGATATTACTGGAGTATTGCAGCGTGAAGCCACACTCACTCACATTTGAATGAATAGGTATAGTTTAAAACATAAAACGATATTGCTAAGAACAAAATGGTATGATGCTAACCTCTACAGCAATAATAATCCATATGACGAGATTCCTGTCAAAGCTTTCAGGGGGACAACTGCTTTCTTTCCGTTCTTCTTATTGGTTGCTTTATGCTGCTGTAGGCAATATTTCACCTATATCACAACGGTTAATAATCGAAGTTGTGGTTGACATAAGGACAAACGTTCCACTGTGTCGGGGTACATGTATGATGACACGCCACAAAGGCGGATCTTATCATGGTATAAACTCAGTTGACCTGTGCAACCCAATTTAAGAGAAAACAGTTACTTTGGTATGTCATTATCACTTACTTGTTCGTACAAGATAAGACCCCATTTCCGTGCATTTGAGAACAGATGATCCCAGAAATCCTACAATAGGAAGAAGAAAAGAACCAATGTTACATGCATGCTACCTTGGCTGTCCGCCTGTAACGAATTGCATTGTCCTAAACATTCATGGATAATTTAATGGAGATGAGTAAAATTTAATTTCAAAAGTATCTTAAGTTCATAGTCAAACTACCAAAGAGTTAATATTTTTGTCAACCACACAGATCAGATAAGATCAACACATTGATCACGCTCAATGTTTGCTGTTTAACGCCGCACTCAGCAAATATTCAAGCTAAATGACGGCGGCCTGTAGACCAGGCAATCCAGTAATTGATATCATGAGCATCGATCTACGCAAATGGGATACATTAGCCAAGTCAGCGAGCCTGACCACCCAATCCAACTAGTCGCCTCTTACGACAAGTATGGTCGCCTCTTACAAGCATGGGTTGCTGAAGACCTAGTCTACCCCGGATTCTTCACGGGTCAGTTTGTAAGTATGATGGTATACAAAGTTTATATTTAACGGGTTCTTCAATGTTTCATGAGTCCATATACGCTCCCACAAACGGACTCCTTACGGTCGGTATATTCAGGCAACAAATCAAGCCGCGCGGCCTGGTTCCAGCGAGAGGTAAACCGCCAGGACATCAGACCAATGAGCGTTCAGATAACATCGGCAACATTTCTCGTGCAACTTGTGCACATGTGTACATGTACGCGATAATCTTCTCTTCACATTGCATCAATACCAGGCAATGGTAGGGTGTATTGGCGGACTAGATATAAACACACATCGCTATGACATCACATAGGAATCATATGTAGTCACGGTGGATGGAGGTGTATACAAAACTTGTGAAGTACTGGCGATGCACATTGGTCTTCTGGTCGAATCCAATTCTCTACAAGAAGGCTTATGTATTTCACCTCTGACATTGGTACGGCTTTCAGGATTTCAACAATGAAGTCAAACTGCCCTCCATTTTGTTTGGCGTAAGTAGTGTCGCTTGCCCTAGAAGACACACACAGAGAGTAATAATACACGATATGATCATCAATCAATCAATTAATCAATCAATCAACCAAGAGAGAGAGAGAGAGAGAGAGAGAGAGAGAGAGAGAGAGAGAGAGACTTACCAAAACCGGTTATGCGCTCCTGCTGGCCACCCCGTCATGTTATATAGAAACCTGCAAGCATAAAGTTTCAAAGTTAGCAAGTATCCCGAACCATAGTAATCACTGGCACATATAAACAAACATGGAAAAACAATAACCATTTTTAAAAATCGTGTCCTACATTTATTTACTGACGAAACGCCTTTGGTTTCGTTGACATGGTAAGGTCGAAATATGGAAACTGCTATTGGTTCACTGATGAAATATTTTGAAACAGCACTACACCAGCTAGCAGTCAGATGTTGGCAAAGAAACGCCGGCCCAGCCTTGGATTAAATTCTGTTTTATTCATTATAACCTCCCAGGCAGCCAGAAATGTTTGTACCAATCCAATTAAGATATCACGTAGCAAGGAACACATTCCGTAATTTTAATTCACAACAGGTCGATGATATTTTTAATTGCTTCTTGTGGTTATTTGAATCCTATATTACTCAGTTCTTTGTAAAAAAGGGAACCACGAATCGGTGGTAGCTTAGACATTTATCAAATTAAACAGTATCAATATAATGTGATGGTTGGTTGTTGTTTTACGCCACACTCAGCAATATTCAAGCTGTATGACGGCGGTCTGTAAAGAAATCGCGTCTGAAACATCAGTCACATTTCATTACAGGAATGTTGTTGTTTGTGTAACGCTGCAATCGGCAATATTCATGCAATATGACTGCTGCTGTTTAATAATCTAATCGAGTCTTGACAGACAATCAGTGATGACCACGATCAGCATTGATTTACGCAATTAGCATACTAGTTATTATTAGATGAGTGAGTGAGTGAGTTGGGTTTAACGCCGCTTTTAACAGTATTCCAGTTATATCACGGCGTGTCAGCTTAATGTGGGAGGAAAGCCCGAAGTGATGCAGGTCTCAGACGGTTACCACTTCGGTGAAACCCACGAGCACGGGTATGGTGCTGACAAACCTAGAAACATAATTGGGGCGAACCGGGATTCTAACCCACAATCATAGGTTTCTGGCGTGCCCAAGGGACGCAACTCTGCACAGCGAATCGCGGCGCCTTAGACGACTGGGCCACCCGTGCCCCCTATTATTAGATGACACGTAAAGGATGTGTTGTTTAACGCAGCAATATTCCAGCTATATGACGGTGGTCTGTAAATAATCGAGTCTGGACCAGAGAATCCAGTGATAGACATCATGAGTATCGATCCCCGCAATTGGGATTGATGACATGCATCACCCAAGTCGGCGAGCCCGACCACCCGATCCCGTTAGCCGCCTCTTACAACGTGTATGCCTATTGCTTCCTGAAAACCAATTGTGATCCGGATCTTCACGGGTCATTACAGTGTCGATCTTCACGGGGGCATTTCAGTGTATGTATTGCAAAAATTAATGATGAAGTTTCAAGTAAATTTTTGCCTCAAAACAAAGATTGAGGATTGACAGGTTAGTGTTTTGATACTTACTGCAAACCGTTCGGGAAAATGTCAGGCATTGGCTCCCATGTCTTGACCCCTTTCCCTATCCCTTTATAATACCAGTAGGAGTCATACTGCACATATCTACAATGTAAAATAAACCCAATTTCGACTGTCCAACAAAACATATGGGCGTAATTTGAATGGATCACTGAAGTGAGTGAGTGAGTTGGGTTTAACGCCGCTTTTAACAGTATTCCAGTTATATCGCGGCGTGTAAGCTTAATGTGGGAGGATAGCCCGAAGTGATGCAGGTCTCAGACGTTTACCACTTCGGTGAAACCTACTAGCACGGGTATGGTGCTGACAATCCTAGAAACATAATCGGGGCAAACCGGGATTTGAACCCACAATCAGAGGTTTTTGGCGTGCCCAAGGGACGCAACTCTGCAGAGCGAATCGCGGCGCCTAAGACGACTTGGTTACCCTTGCCCCCGGATCACTGTAAATCAGTGGCGACACAAGGTGTTCGCGAAAAGCAAACATCCGTGGATAAGCCCTTATTAAAATGTGTTAAACATGCATAAATTTACATAAATCAATCAAAAGTAATCTCAAAATGAAATAGCATACCATATGGATTATATTGTTAACATTCAGAACGTGTTTTTACAAAGCATATGCCGATCCTATTCACAGAACGGGGCGTTCGGGTAGCCTAGAGGTTAAAGCGTTCCCGACATGGGGACAATGTGTGAAGCCCATTTCTGGTCACCCCGCCGTGCTATTGCTGGAATATTGCTAAAAGTGGCGTAAAACCGTACTCACTCACTATTCACAGAACCTTTTCATTGAATTTGGTTTGTTTGTTTGTTTGTTTGTTGTTTTACGCCGCACTCAGCAATATTCCAACAATATGACGGCGGTCTGTAAATAATCGAGTCTGGACCAGACAATCTAGTGATTTACATCATGAGCATCGATCCACGCAATTGGGATTGATGACATGCATCAACCAAGTCAGCGAGCCTGACCACCCGATCCCGTTAGTCGCCTTTTACGACAAGCATAGTCACCTTTTACGGCAAGCATGGGTTGCTGAAGACCTATTCCACCCCGGAATCTTCACGGGTCTTCTTTGAATTTGAGTGATCAAGACAAGTTTTATATCGCGTTAAGCAATATTCCAACCATATCACGACAGGGGTCACCAAGAATGTTCTCTACACAATGTAACCATTTTGACATTTCACCTGGGACTTGGCGTGAAGAAACAACGTCTTCTCGGACACCAGCCTCAGGTTAACCAATTGCGATCATACACTAAGATGTTCATGTGTACTGTAAGATACGGTGGATTAAAATGTTGCATGAGTCTATGATCAGGTTTCGTCAAGAATATCCCACCTGTATGGTATCTTGTTCTTCTCAACTTCTGCTCTGACGTCCAGAATTGTTTGTTCGTAGTTTTTATTCTTCTCTGTGTTGTAGTAATAAAAGGCACCTATGTTGAGAACAAATGTGGCATTCAATATCAAGATTCATAATTAAAAAATTCAATGTGTGTGTGTGTGTGTGTGTGTGTGTGTGTGTGTGTGTGTGTGTGTGTGTGTGTGTGTGTGTGTTATAAAAGATAGATTGATTTTTTTGTGGCAGGCAATGTTTTTTTAATTTCACAAGTTTGAAACTTAAATATTGTTAATCAAGCATCAACAAAACAATGTTTTTTCTCCGCACCAGACAATCTAGTGATAGACATCATGAGCATCGATCCACGCAATTCGGATCGATGACATGCATCACCCAAGTCAGCGAGCCTGACCACCCGATCCCCTTAGTCGCCTCTTACGACAAGCATAGTCGCCTTTTACTGCTAGCATGGGTTGCTGAAGACCTATTCTATCCCGGATATTCACGGGTCTTTTAAATTTCAATCGATAACTTTGTCAAAATGTTTTTCAAAGCGTAGAATGGAAGTTGCCATCTTAAAACTAGTGCCGTAACGGTTCAGAAAGCTGCTTTCGGATTGGCTTAATTCGACTTCCAGTTCGTCATTTCATTGGTCGGTCAAAGTTTGCGAAAGGTCGTTCTTACGTGATCTGTATTGATCGGAATGCCTGAGATCTTTGTATAGCATGGTGAGCACTAAGATCTGATTTTAGTTGGGATAGAGTGAGGAACGACAAGACTTTCTAGCCAGACAACATTTCTGTGATAGAACTGTGAAGGTTTGAATGAAGACTTCTCACTGCTATATCGGCAATTAAAAACCTATTTCCGACGAATATGAGCGGAAATCTAATTCAAATATACATAGATATTCTTAACCGGAATTGAACATCCTTTTCAAGCTCTTTAAGATAACGGTTTTTCTTATTCAGTGTCAGTTGAAATGTGGGAACTCCTGTTGTGGTGACCTACCGCCATCAGTCCAGTATCCAAGATAGTTCAGCGTAAAATCAGCTTCCCGCATCTTCTGATCTTTGTCGTGATATGTACGTAGCAGCTTCCCCCAGCCTTCAAAAGCCTGAAACATAAATAGGTTGATTTTACAGGTTATTTTCTACCCATCTGGATACCCTCCTGATACAAGTATATCAAATACAGCCCTTGCAAGTCTATAATGTGAGTGAGTCAAGAGTTAGTCAAGAATCGAAACGTTTATAACCCTTGGTTTGTCATTTCGTTGTAAGTTTCCTTTTGCTAAATGACAAGTGTAGTGACAGCTCCATGTGCATGTGCATGTACCGCTACAGAAATGAGGCCATCTAAAACTCACGAAAGTCCAATGAGCTCTCCTAGGTTAGACTAACATCTAGTCTCTCAAATGAATATATCGTACAAAAGAAAGCATAGTTGTTCTTAATTAAAATGTATTAAAAAGGAGCCTAGAGACTCTCTTCATTTTCTGATACTGCAGTAATCTAGACTTGCCAAACATTATAGACTTGCAAGGGCTGTATTTGATATACTTGTATCAGGTTCTGTAAGACAGTCTATTATTCAGTGTACGAGTGAGTGAGTTAAACTTTAACGTCTCATCGACAATATTTCAGCCAAATCGCGACGAAAGGTTACATATATATATGACCCGTGAAGATCCGGGGTAGAATAGGTCTTCAGCAACCCATGTTTGCCGTAAAAGGCGACTATGCTTGTCGTAAAAGGCGACTAACGGGATCGGGTGGTCAGGCTCGCTGACTTGGTTGATGCAGGTCATCAATCCCAATTGCGTGGATCGATGCTCATGATTATTTACAGACCGCCGTCATATAGCTGGAATACTGCTGTGTGCGGCGTATAAACAAACCAAACCAAAACTAGTTTAGCCAAAATTTAAGAATGATGAATATACTACGTTTAAAAGTCTGACATGCATTAACATACTTTCAACGATGGGGAACTTGTGCGTACCAAACCACTGCCCCACATTGTGTAGACACATGTGGGGAGCACCAGAAATCGGCTTCAACCATTGTACCCGTGTGAGGAATAGAACTCGGGACTTCGGCGTGATGTACGAATGCTTTAACCCCTGGGCTACCCCTACCACTCTGCTGCACACGATGTCAAGAGAGAAACATGACGCATGCAAACTGAGGTCTGAGTTGTTGCTTGAATCAGGCGGTCGTTTGATTAGTTGCTTTAAAATACCGAGGGGTTGTCGGGTAGCCTAGTGGTTAAAGCGTTCGCTCGTCACGCCGAAGACTCGGGTTCGATTCCCGACATGGGTACAATGTGTGAAGCCCATTTCTGCTGTCCCCCGCCGTAATATTGCTGGAATTTTGCTAAAAGCGGCGTAAAACCACACTCACTCACTAACTTAACATACCACGTATGCCCTAGCGTATACAAACACGTGATGTATTGACGATTTTTTTGAAATTGTAATAAGTTCATATCATTGGTATACCTTCCGTTGCATCATGTTTTGGTAAACCTTATTACCTTATTTATGCCTTGAGCGCTGTAAAAGACAACGGTTTGATACACGAAGTCAGCAGGAACACGACCAACTCGTCCCATGATGCCCCAGTTTACTGAATCAGTGGTGAGCCTGTCATGCCACACGGACCCCGCCATGAATTGGTTGAAAGGGGAGATAACTACGGCGTCTCTATTTTCATTGAAAATACACAAGGGTCCTCCATCGATGCCAGAGTTTGGCATAGCTTGTCCCTTCTGCCATCTGAAACATAGTTCGTAGTATAAATGTGTTGGCGGTGGGGTAGCCTAGCGGGTAAAGCGTTCGCTCACCACACCGAAAGCCCGGGTTCGATTCCCTACATGGTCACAATGTGTGAAGCACATTTCTGACGTCATGCGTCGTGAAATTGGGACATATAGCTTGAATACGGCTGGACGTGTGATGTTAAACAAACAAACAAAATCCACAGTTACTGTTCCTAGTCAAATGTCGATACAGGGTCATTTCGATACAGGGTCAGTTGGGTAGCCTAGTGGTGAAAGCCTTCGCGCTTCACGCCGAAGACCTGGGTTCGATTCCCCACATAGGTACAACGTGTGAGGTGAGGTGAGGTGAAATTGGGTTTAACGTCGCGTCCAAGATTATTGCACTTATATAGCGACGTGCATGCACGTGTATGTGTGTGTGTGGCTGCTTGTACTAGTCCGGACTGATGCCGATTTATAGTGCTAGCTGACTGAGATACCATGCCGCAGTTTAACATGAATACCCCACTCAGACACAGTATACTGACTCCGAGCCGACCAGTCCTTGTTTTAGCCCCTTAATGCCGAGCGCCAGACAGGGTAACAACAAGTACAATCTTTTAACGTCTTTTTGTATGACGCGGCCCTGGTTCGAACCCTGGACCTTCCGCTCTCCGGGCGGACGCTCTACCACAAGACCACGGAGGCGGTCGTACAACGTGTGAAGCCCTGTCGTCATATTGCTGGAACATGGCTAACTACAAGGTGTTTCCAACTACCGGGGTCCAGAATAACGGCGTTACCAGTTTTCGAGATATTGCCGATGTGCTGTAACATTTTTAATCCCCCACTCACGCTTACTACAAAACGACAGTCACTGTCATACAATACCTCCCAATCATCTTATCAGTATCCCCAACCATGATGCCGCCATATGACAGGAAGCCAAGGTCAGGGACGTTGTCGGTGATGTAGAATGACGGGAAACTGCTGATGACTTCATTGTGGTTGAAGGTGCCCGTCATTAGAGCTCCTTCTTTATAATGCTGCAAGTTGATACTTGTGTTATAAACACCGTTTTCGAAAAAAGTATATTTACAAATTATTAGTGCGTGTCTTCGTGGATAAAGGGAGTCGGTGAACTAGTTAATATCCGAAAAAAGTTTTCTACATTGAAGTTTCATTAGCTGAATAGGATTGGTTGGTTGGTTGAGTTGTTGTTTTTGGCCGCACTCAGCAATATTCCAGCTACATGACGGCGGTCTGTAAATAATCGAGTCTGGACCAGACAATCCAGTGATTAATATCATGAGCATCGATCCGCGCAATTGGGATCGATGACATGCATCAACAAAGTCAGCGAGCCTGACCATGCGATCCCGTTAGTCGCCTTTCACCACAAGCACAGTCGCCTTTTACGGCAAGCATGGGTTGCTGAAGACCTATTCTACCCCGGAATCTTCACGAATGGGAAACCGAAACAGAACAAGGTACCATAGGAAAAGATATTGCATTTATTTGAATATATTCTATATGAACTACCTATTGAGTTTTTTGTCTTTCGTAAACATTCGAGTGTCCAATTAAATGTGTTTGTTTGTTTGTTGTGTAACGCAGCACTCAGCAATATTCCAGCTATATGGTGACGGTCTGTTAGTAATCAAGTCTGGACCAGTAAGTCTTTTGTCTTTCGTAAACATTCGAGTATCCAATTAAACAAGCAGTGTGGCAATCTCATTAAAATCAGATCTTAGTTCTCGCTACCGCTAAACACAGATCTGAGGACATCCCATTACGGGTCACGTCAGACCGACCTTGCGCGAAATTTGACCGACCAATGGAATGAACAATCAGAAGGCAGCTTTCTCGTGCTTTACGGCACTAATTTCAAATTGGCGACTACGCTTCGAAACATATTTTGACAAATTCTCGTTTACAAATTTGAAACCTGAACACAAGAACATTCTGGAATGGCTAATTGATGGTCTAGATTGTATGGATTCAGTGGTTAAACCTGTAACTATCGTTCGGAGTTTAAGTTTTCGAGGCTGCATGATCAGAAATCACATTCCGACTATCACTTTCATGATCTGGTAAGCGATGCTCTGATTGGTCGGATGAAAAGTCGTTTTGACGTGACCCCTAATCGGATGTCCTCAGCTCTTTGTTTAGCGGTAGCGAGAACTGAGGTATGATTTTAATGAGATTGGCAGTGTGGAAGCATACATGTACATCGGGAAATGGTAAGCACCACCATTTCGTTTATCCCAATCTTTCATACATCTTCCGGAAATATATTCGTAATATATAATTCTGACATTGATGTCATTGTGTTTACTTTCCAAGATACTGACGAGACCTCCACTGCAGTTTCTTCCAGATAAGTACCAGACGAATTCAGCGATTCCGCGATCTCGGAAAGATTTGTAGAAAATGATGTATTTTGTCGTAAATATTATATTTCATATGGACATATAAAGTTCATGGTGCTTAAATGTTTTCCCTGGGTATATTTGCATCGAAAATGGTGAAATTAAATATCGTCTCCTCACCTGCTCAAATATCACAAAATCTCCGAGATTTGACTGCGTGTATTCCTTTACACGAGCTATGATTATATATTGTCCTGCACTATATTCAAAGTCCATGGACGTCCATCCGCCAAGTTTGTCAGAACCACTTTTGCGTGAAGCCCCTTTCAGAACAAGTGTATCGTCTGCTGTAGAAAACGGGAAGCCGTCTGCGCGGAAGAACGTGTGCGCATTTGGCAGCCATGTTTGGTTTTTGATACTGATACTATATGTGCCGTCTGTTGAAACTTCAACTTTGAAGTCATCATCAACGACAACGGCATCTGAAAAATGAATTTTTCTTTTGTAAAAGTAACAATGTGACAACGTAAGGTGTTCCTATAGTATTCAGGATAAGTATTGGTCAGTACTCACTTAAGTTTCTCGTATGAGGCGAATTAATGGATCGGTTGGTAAGGCTCAGTGACATTGTTTGATAGTGTCTCTAACCCTGGGTTAATATATCAATCACCAGTGTGCCTAGTTTGTTTAACGCTGCACGCTGTTTGTTTAACGCTGCGCTGTTAAACGCTGAGGTCGGTATACCTGGTCCAAATTCGATCATCTACAGTTGGTTAGTTGGTTGGTTTGTTGTTTAACGCCGCACTCAGCAATAGTCCAGCTATATGACGGCGGTCTGTAAATAATCGAGTCTGGACCAGAAAATCCATTGATTAATATCATGAGCATCGATCCACGCAATTGGGATCGATGACATGCATCAACCACGTCAGCGAGCATGACCACCCGATCAATGTTTTGTGATATAAGAGTCGGGAGGTACACGTACAAAATTATTCTTGTGATGTTTACACACAGACAATTAATGACGAAAATCGAGAAAAATAATACAGAGATTTAGTTACCTTTCATTAGGGGAGACGCGTGTATTGCGGAAAACAGGAGACATGTCAGAAAGAGATGCCCTGACACAGACATTTTGCAGTGCTGACACGATCAACTCACTGTTCTGAGGTCACGGATATCATCGACGGTCATCTCAAGATGGTGGCCTACATACATTGCTGATAACGCATGACAACGTTTTCTGATAACGTAAACTGATAATGAACAGTGTGAAGGCCAATAAACCTCAGCGATGGACCTGTGATACGAATGCAGTTTTGCGCCGCAGTCATACAAATTCCAGCTATAATAAGCAGGACCCGTGAAGATCCGGGGAAGAATAGGTCTTCAGCAACCCATGCTTGCTGTAAAAGGCGACTATGCTTGTCGTAAGAGGCGACTGACGGGATCGGGTGGTCAGGCTCGCTGACTATATGACGGCGGTCTGTAAATAATCGAATCTGGACCAGAAAATCGGAAGCATTAGGTTTCGTATTTCTGGCATGCCTTGCTCTAGTATCTGACGCGGGCAGTGCAGCGAGATTTGCTAATAAGCCAGTTTTAGGATATGTAGCATGTTAATGGAATTCATACCCGCGCCAAGAAGTCAAACCAAACCATGTTACCAAGTTTATTGTGATAACATTTCAGTGAGCCTGATATCCCTCCGTTATGCAAAGTTACCTCTATCGGATATTACGGCATTTGATTATCAGGGCATGATCATGTACATGTTCACTGTAGTAATGTACATACTAGTCAACTTGATATAATTTTTATTATAGTGTAGCGCGGCATAAACGATTACTATATGATATCCTCACTTCTCGTCGATGTATTGACATCGAACAATGGACTTATTCTTATTCTTATTCGAGCTATAAATAGCTTCAATAGGGACAGCGCCGGTGTCAGTAAAAACCAAATCGTTCTAGACTTGAGCTGGATTCCTTTCAAATTTATTCTCTATGGTCTGGGAGACGTACAATGGCGTCATTATGGCATGGAGAACTGGGGCAGCCGGGGGCAGTGTAATCGGATATGTTGTGGAGTTTCGGGTTTGGGCTGTTTGCTGAATAGAACAAGGGCTCACGAACAAGGGCACAATGTAGAGATTAAATCATTACCACCTCTGTTTATATCAGATATGTTATTGTGATTTGAAATCTCTTTTGAACAATTGCGAGTTATTGTATTCTCTGTATTCTTTCGTCATGGTAGAATATGTATTTTCTATGTTGCTTTTTTATACATCCACAAATAATGAGAACTACAATGTCAACCTTTCTGGAGATATACAATACTACCACTGAAGGGCATATCTGAAAAATGGGACTAATCGACTAAATACTGTCTGTTACAGGCATTCTAATAATTATATTATACTTTGTATAGTTGAAAGTCAAATAATGGCAAATTGTGTATCCTTCTACATTTATAATTCATTATAATTTCTGCAATAAAACCTAAACACCAAATAGTGAAATAAACGAATATGATCTAAACTGTGATAAATGAATTATTAATTTCGTATTATGAATTAAATAAACTGAAATATGATAGTCAAAACAAATTATCTGTTCGTATGAGTAGGTAACGAGAGATCTAGGCAACTCACTAAGGTAACCATTTGTGAAAAATCAAATATTTAGGGGTTTGAACATTTACATTGAATGACAGACAAGAAAGCAACGCAATAATTAACTTATGAATCAAATTATGTTATAAATATAACAAAATATATAGAAAATACAAGTTACATTTCTCATTGTTGGAAGGTGTTTAATGATAGTTTTTGTTTGATTGTTTGTTGTTAAACGCCGCACTCAGCAATATACCAGCTCTATGACGGTGGTTCGTAAATAATCCAATCTGGACCAGACAATTCAGTTATTATCATCAAGAGCACCGATCTACGCAATTGGGATACGATGACATGCATCAACCAAGTCCACGAGCCTGAACACCCGATTATGTTAGTCGCCTTCGTACAAGCATGGGTTGTTGAAGACCTATTCTAGCCCGGATCTTCTTGGGTCTTTTTTTTAATAATAAGGTACAATGAAATTCTGTTTAAGTCCATAATAAGTGTGTATAAGTAGATGGATAATATGTCCATACACGCCAATTAAATGGGTTAGACTGCATATGGTTCAATGATGAGTTCTTTTACTAGTCCATATTCCACGACATGTATTTGATATTCATAATAACTCCACAAAGGCTACACAATGGCGACAAAACGGTACCAGCATCACATTTTTTGTATTCTTTTTTTCGTTTGGAGAGAGAAGTAGTGACTGGTATCTGATGGGTTTTCCCTTGCGTCCAGGCCTTACTGCAATGCTATAGCCCCAAATGAAACATGCCTAGATGATCAACAGGTTCAGGCTGAAATTTCCATCCCTCTGGGCCTCCTTTTAAATTCAAATATAGTTTCTTGTTTTAATCAAAATAATATATTTTCAGAAACTAAGCGTTAGTATAGCCGTGAAGTACAACTATCCAAAAGATCCCATGCATGTCTATATATCTTCAGACAGACTCTCCATGTTCCTATCGATATGTGTCAAAAGACAAATGAATTAAATATTACATCACTGGTGAATAGGTTATATGCGCATGTCTGCGTCGATCCTACACTATCCTTTTGCGCAAAATACATATATACTGATGAATTAACGTAGTAATACTACGCAAATATATGTCCAGATGTATACATCAGTATCATCTCGTGATCTTTATTCGAGCTTTAAGTTCTTTTTCGACAGGAGATTATAGGGTGTTACATCACACCAGAAAGCAAGGTCCAAATTCAAGTCATAATTTCATGGTCCGTCTTGTATGTTGGAAACCAATATCGCAATATGGCTGAATTTTGCTAAACGTGGTATTAACCCGATTACTCACATAATTATTCCATTTTCTTCATGCACATTCTACAATCATCTACGAATCTGTAAAGAGGTATATCTATATTCATCCAAATGTCCATACATATATGTCCACATACGCATATATGTATTGCGCAAGTTGTCCTGCACTCTTCCTTAAAAGGTAAGTGCTAAGCATTTCCTCTGTATGTATTTATATATGTAAATATTGTTTTAATGTCAACGCTGATGCAGTGAACGTACCACAGACCTGATGCTGGAATTACATCTAATCTCTGAAATGAACATATTTTACCGAAACAACCTGTTGTTAAACAATAGTTATGAAATATAATTAAAAGGAGCCAAGAGACTTTTTCATTTTGCCAAATATTGGGCTGTATTGAACATATTTGTTTCAGGGTTTGTATGACAGATAAGTGAGTGAGTTGGGTTTAACGCCGCCCTTAACAGTATTCCAGTTATATCACGGCGTGTCAGCTTAACGTGGGAGGAAAGCCCGATGTGATGTAGGTCTCAGACGTTTACCACTTTGGTGAAACCCACAAGCACGGGTATGGTGCTGACAAACCTCGAAACATAATCGGGGCGAACCGGGATTCGAACCCACAATCATAGGTTTCTGGCGTGCCCAAAGGACGCAACTCTGTACTGCGAATCGCGGCGCCTTAGACGACGGCGCCTCTATGACAGGCAAACCTGATTCTTTTAAGTATGAAGATAAGTAAGTATAGCTGTTGTATATATTCAAATATGTGAGTGAGTTAGTTAAAATTTAACGTCACATCGACAGTATTTCAGCCATATCGTGACGAGAAGTACATTTATAATGCATATATTTAGACAATATAAAAAAGCTGTCAACGATGGACAGTATAATAACTAGAATATCACAAACTTGATTTAAAACTAGTTGAGAATATTAAAAAAACAGTAAGCAGTAATGAACAACACAATAATGGACTAGAAATCGTCAGCCACTGAAGGGGGATCACCATACTGGGGACCATGGGGACTTACAGTGCCTTTGCTTCCTGCATGGACCCCGGCAGGATTTATATCATCCCTTCAGTCACTGGCGACAGTGTACCAATTAAGCCAAAGATTAAAATGACGAATATTCTACGTTTAAAAGCCTGGCATGCAGAAAAATACATCGAATGATATGGGACTTACATACCCTCTTAGGGGGACAGTCATTTTACGCTACTTCAAACCCCCTCGAGGATACAGCCACTAACAATCTAAGTTGTGAATTTTGCACTACCAATTTTTAAAACAATACAGTAAATACATCAAAATTTGTGAATAAGGTATATTTCCTTTAAAAAACATAGTATTAAATGAGAGTTAACTTTACTAAAAAGGTCCTTCACTGTTTTTACACTGAAATATTTATACCTTGTGATGGAAAAATCAATACAGTCAAGCAGGACATGCTTGACCGTGATTTCACCACAAGGGACACAAAACGGAGGACCCTCACCTTTTAATATATACTCATGTGTATATCAGTGGCCAATACGACATCGTCGCATAATGACCTTTTCAAATCTGGACTGACAGCCCAAGTAGGTGTAACCAATATTTGGTTTAATTTCATGTAATTTATTAATACCTACTTGGGTGTCCCACTTCTTTTGCATCAGATCATGGATGTAAGGTCTAATAACTGGTTTATAATCAGTGTATGGGATAAGAAGTGGTGTTTGTGATTAACCCAACCTTGAAAAATATTGAAAGATGAGTGGTAACTATTTATGTCATTATTTCAAATTAAAATGATAGCACATCAGGAAAGCATGTCACTTTAATATACGTATCTTGTTAATCTTGTTAAGTATAAGCAGCATGTATATTGAGAGTATAGGTTTGGTGCGACTTATCACACATTACTTTCAGAAAGTGTGCATATTCTGTTTACCGGCAATAAATGACATAAGACGATTCATACGGGTAAATACGATTTACTTCAGAACTGGTATAGATTACTTAAGGTTAGGGGGAAATGAATGTAATTAACAGAACTTTGGGCGGGTTTAAAGGATTTGGGTCCTGGCTTGGGCTTTGTGTTGGACGTGTAGACGGCATTTCCAGGTTTGACGTATCAATGACCAAAATGATGTCTGATGCAATTCTCTGCCTTTTCGGATGAACAATTGGCTTGCCTTTGCATGTGTTTGTGGCGGGTGCCACGAGTGGATCGGAATGAGCTCGCGCCTTTG